TCTCTCTCTCTCTCTCTCTCTCTCTGTGTGTGTGTGTGTGTGTGTGTGTGTGTGTCGCACGCGCTGACTGCATGCGTGCGTGGGCATCACTAAGGGAGGCTGTTTCGTCGGACTTCCACCGACTCATCAGGAGGTTGAACCCCGACAGTCTGCCCGGATGTCATGTGTGTGTGTGTATCCACATGCCAAGTCAAAGTCGAGCGTGGTAGTGTAGTGTAGAGTAGTAAAGTCGAAGTCGAGTGTAGTAGCATAGGATAGGAAAGTAGAAGTCTAGTACAGAGTAGAGTAGCATAGGGGTGGGTATTTCCCACGCCGTAGAATTTGCCCATGCCGCCACCAAAAAGGCACGCCCCCATCCAAAAACAGTGCACGCCGCCACGAAAAAATAGTTACATCACGGACAGCCTATGGGAACCCGTTTGCCCGAACACAAAACCCCACCGGTAGGTACCGCGCCAAGAAACCACTGGTAGGTACCGCGGCCCTCTCCAACAGGCAAATAATCCCGGCCGTCGCGTCCAAGATACCGGGCCAACGGCCTGGATTGATGCGCGCTCTGAAGGTCTTAAGATCGCGCTGATACGGCGCGTCGATCCGGTAGGACCCGACGGCCGGGATTTCAGATTTGTTACATGGTTCGGTTGATCTGGGCCGTGGGCCGGTAGGACCAACAACGGCCCGGATTTCAGATTTGTCACGTTAGCGATTTTAATAGTGTAGGGATTTGATATGCGACTATTATGCGTATATATTGTCAAACAGAACTGCCCGGTAAACCGTAGGCAGAGAGGGAGAAGAGGACAACAAACAAGGGGCTGCGACAAACAGTTTCCTCGGAGTTTCACCAACTCATCAGGAGGCTTTGCACATGTATTATGTACGACGTACGACTATGTACTATCTGCGTACTCCGTTTGTACTATGCATTTTACTATGCATTTACGATGAATAATAGAATATACTATGTACTATGTGCTGTATATGTACGATCATACTACTATGCATGTACTAACTATGTGTGTGCTATGTGTGTACTGTGCAGATGCTATGTACTCAATGTTTGTACTATGCACGTATTACATAGTCATGTCTAGGGCCATTTCACGACGATGGCCTTTGCATGTCAGTATGTACTAACGTAAGCGCTATGTATGTAGTCAATGGATGGCCTTTGCATGTCAGTATGTACTAACGTAAGCGCTATGTATGTAGTCAATGGCTCGATGGACTATGCATGTTTCTATGTATGTACTACGTAGTCAATGTTCAGAGCCATTGCACAATGAATCAATGATGGTCTATGACTCTATGCACGTACTGTGAACTATGTATGTG